TTTGTATATATAAAAGCTTAGGAACTTTCTGTTTAGCAGGAAGGCGACACATTCCTACACTTTTAATGTATATGTTTGTTATAATGTCCATGTAAACATGCCCTATGTTTGTGCCTTTTAATTAGTTTGTCTCAATAAACAAAATGTAGAGAAAAAAATTAAAAATAAAACAAGCCTCAATATTTAACTTTATTAATTAATAATAATAACAGATTTAGTAACACTTTTTTAAAATTTATTTTGAGAGAGAGAGAGAGAGAGAAAGGGCAAGCATGAGCAGGGGAGGGGCAGAGAGAGAGAGAGAGGGAGAGAGAGAATCCCAAGCAGGCTCTGTGCTGTCAGTGCAGAACCTGAAGTAGGGCTTGAACTCATGAACTTTGAGATCATGATCTGAGACCAAACCAAGACTCAGATGCTTATCCTACTGAGCCACCCAAGTGCCCCAGATTTAATAACACTTTAATAATTCACATAAGACAATCCTATTCTTAGTCACTATTATTTAAAGCCCCAAATCCATGCCAGTTACTCCAAATATGTTTCAGAGTGAAAAGCCTGCTATAGAAGCCAGGAAGAATCAGTACTGAAAGAGTGTCAGGAATAAGCCCATAGACCCAATCAAAGGAAAATGTTGATTAAAGCCTCGCTCAACATTCTTGCAAGAGTAGATGTCTCATGGACATGCACACTCGGGGCAGTCACAGCAGACAATTTATCCTTGGAGTATGTACATATTTCCCAATAGGTTGTAAACCTACTGTTAATTAAGACAGCACAGCTTTCATTTGGTATTCCTGAAAAGGAATCATCTCCCTTCTCACAAGAGCCAAGAGACTGTAGGGACCTCAAGATGGCCCACTTTGGCATGAAGATTATTTTGAGTTACAAAGCAATCAAAACCCAGTAGATTGAGGAAAGTCTTTTTTACCTTCCCCACAACTGCCTAAGAAGAATTTAGACAGAAGATCTGCTCCAGGAAGAGAGCTATCACCACAGACAACTACATTACACTATGAACTGGGGGTGGTAGACAGGGAGGAACCTAGCAAGTCCTGTTTGGTCACAGTTCTCTGTTGTTTCTGAGAGGCCCAGCAAACATTTGCTAACCAAATATTTACACTTTTTCATCTTTCTGTAAATTGCATTCCTTCCCTTTGAAGTTTCAGACCCCTACCCTCTTCTCCTTAACTCACAATGACATATATATCTCCTTTTGCCCATTTTGGAATTTCCATGAATGTGCATTCCCCATAAGTACACTATTAAATTTGATTTTCTCCTGTTAATCTGTCTCATGTCAATTTGATTCTTAGTTCAGCTAGTATGAGCCTGAGGGGACAGGATATTCTTGATCCCTTACAAGAGCATAATCCTGCTTTTATTATATGTGTGAGGGCAAGCATGTAGCCTAATGTTAAATTTGTTCTGGTAACTCTTAAAACATGCATGTAGAATACTCATCAGTAAAGCCACTATAAGATACTATAGAGCTAAAAGATGTTTTCCATAAGCATTTAAGGTCCATATTATTGGATTTAAAACACAACTGCTATAATTTGAATAATTTACCCTAATATACTCATTTAATATGGATGCTTTTTAGGGATAGCAATTTAAGCATACAACAAAAGTTTGGTTTGCAAAAAGACAGAGCTTATGAAGATTTAATGGGTTCTTACCAGAGCAAAGCACTTGATTTCAATAATGTCTACTGGTGGTCCCGGAGAGCTATGGATCTCAAGACTGTACCAGACTCGGACATTGCTAGCACCATCATCTGAAGAAAAAAACAAAAAAACAAAAAATGTAGGCTTCTTAATGTAGGCTTCAGAATACCATATTTAACCTAAAAATTTGAGAAACATCAATAGATATCATTTTCAAACTCTTTTTGATGAACTAATTTGTCAAGAGAGCCAAGGGGAGGGTGAAAAGCTGATTGTATTAGTTTGTGAGTGCTAAGAGAAATGCCATTTTGCATGGCCATGAGCAGGCCCTATAAAAGCTCCCTGTCCTGTGCCTGCCCAGAAACTTATCATGTCACCCCCCGACCCCACTAAAGTAAGAATGCTTTACTTCTTTTCTTTTAATTAAAAAAAAAAAATATTCATTTTTGAGAGACAGACTGTGAGTGGGGGAGGGGCAGAGAGAGGGAGACAGAATCCAAAGCAGGCTCCAGGCTCTGAGCTGTCAGCACACAGCCGGACACAAGGCTCAACCAGCTCATGACCTGAGCAGAAATCAGACGCTCAATTGACTGAGCTACTCAGGCACCCCAACAATGTTTTACTTCTAAGAATTAATATTTCAAAAGAAATAACCAATCATTTTCCCCCTAATTGCCCAAGCATTCACATATTATACATAGAAATATCTAAGTATTGTATTACAGTTCAGTGGAACACTTCCTATACCATAAGAATCTAGTGTAAGGTCAGAATCAGGAATAGTTTACAAGATTTTTCTTTTGTTGTTGGAAGTATGAAAAAGGATCCTAGCAATTCACCCTAAAGGAAGTTGGACTAGGGAATGGATTAAGTGATGAGAAAGTAATGTTTACATCTGGGTTCCCAATATTTTTTTAAAAAGCAGGCATTTCTGTCACTGGTGATGTCTAAAGTCACACTCCCAAATCCTGACACTGGAACCCTGGTCCACTAAAACAGTCCTGTGTAACAGGGCTTGTACTGGCATCAAACTCAGGTTTTCTACTTGTTTAGCCTCATCTGTTCAGCTTCTACTTTGGTATTCTTTATTCTCCAGGGTTGAGCTAGCTTATGATTTAGATGTCCTCCAACTTCAGTTAATTGTATGTATATTCATATCAGTATTGTCATGTTTTAAAGATTCCAGAAACTACTATGTTTGCTGACCTTAGTCATATAAATCACTAGCCTCTTTGGGGCTCAGTTTCCTCATCTGAAATAAGGAGCCCAGACTAGTGGAATTCACAGTCACTCTCTTCTGAAAGAGAGTGTTTTGTGTTTTGCAGAGTATAGCATGGCATTGCATTGTATTGTATTGTACGGCATCGAATGACACTGTAGTGAATTGCATTTCATGGTGGAGGGGAGTAGAATTTGCCATTCCAAACTATGACTTTGGTATAAGGATTATTTTCAGCTGACTATTTAAAAAAAACTGCAGACACAGGAGAACTCTGAAAACTGAGAAGTTACCCTTTTGTAAGAGATATTTACATTTATAAAGGAAATCTGCATTTGTAAGAGTGTCTCCCTTTCTGTATTAGGATGTTGGGAGGGCTAAATCTTAGGAATGCCTATCAGTGGAGAAGACAGTGACCTCTATCTGCATAACAACCTTATTCTTGTTAATGTTGCTTTTCCTGGTAACTTCTCCTTCTTGGCTCCTCATCCCCCAACATCTTTTTGTGTTTTTAGGTGGGGATGGTATTTTAAGGTAAGGGCTTGGCTATTTCAGGGAGTTATTCATTTTTCTGGGTCTCTCCCATGTATAGGGGAGGAATACAAGTTACTAAACTTTTGTTTTTCTCCTGCTAATCTTATTATTATTATTATTATTATTATTATTATTATTATCATCATCATCATCATCATTATTACAGGGGGGTATTGGCCAAGAATTTAGAAGGGTAGAGGAAAAATTATTCCTCGCTACCAAGAGCATTGTATCTTATGGCATTGCTTCATACCATATTATACTGTATTGTATTCCATTCTATTCTAATACTTTAGCTCACAAGAAGTACTTATAGAATTAGTGGATCTTAGAACAATTCAGACTTTCAGAACAATCAGCTAATGAGAGGGAAATAAGAGAAAGTCTTTGTGAATTTTCATCCCAAATACTTGTGAGAAGTTCCTGAGGGCGAAACTTACCTTCCCATTTTCAATTGCCTTCAGAGCTTATTTATTTTACAAACACCAGCTAACTACCTTGAAACCATTAATGCACAGAGAATAAGTTACCAACTTTATACTGATGTTTGGTTACTGAGGAAATCTCTGCTCACATTTGTATTGGCTGCTCCTTCAGTTCTATGGCAGTGATTTAAATGCCTTTATGGTGTTTAAAAATCTCTTTAAAAGAGATTGATTTTAAGGAAATGGCTCACGAAATTGACCTGGTAGGTCCAAAATCTGCAGGTTAAGTCATTAGGCTGTAGACCTAGGAAAGAAGTACAGTCCGAATCCAAAGGCAGTCTACTGGTAGAGTTCCTTTTTTGCTCTGGGGCGATCAGTCTTGGCTCTATTAAGACCTTCAACTGATTAGCCGAGAACTCCACATTATGGAGGGCCATCTTCTTCATTCAAAGTTCAGCTCTAAATGTAAATTTCACCTAAAATCACCTTCACAGAAACATCCAGAATAACGTTTCACCTATTATCTAGATGCCAGAACCCAATTAGGTTAACACAAAAATTAACTTTCACACAAGTAATAATACTTAGTATTTGTGACTGCTGTGACTATCACATAAGGTAATGTTGCGATGTAGCTGATTTAATTCCTACAGTGCTAAAAATGTACACTGAATATGAATTTATTGGTTAGAGTTAAGATTGGCAAAGATTTACTGAAGAGAACAAAAATAATAATTATTAAATACTGTTTAGCTATAGGCTTTGAACATATTAAAATTTTTTTTTCTAATTATAAAATCAACAATATTCACCATAGTGATTTTAGAAATTCCTGTAAGGCTTAAAGATAAAAATTATTCATTATATCACAACTAAGAGTAAACTATTTTTTTTTGTATAAATCTCCAGGTTTAAAGTACCAATAAAGACATAGATATTCAGACACACACACATACAAATACACTGGGGTATACAAATTGTATATGATTGATATATCCATATATATATGTATGTGTGTGTAAACATATTTTTATCATTCAGAGAGTACTCCCTATTACAACTTTAGTTTTATTGCTAGTCATTAGGGAAAAACAAATCAAAACCATGACGAGATATCACCTCACACCCATTAGGATGGCTACTATGAAAATAACAGAAAATAGCAAGTGTTGGGGAGGATATGGAGAAAAGGGCACCCTTGTGTTCTGTTGGTGGCAATATAAATTGGTGCAGTCACTGAAACTGCCACCAGAATGAAGTCTGCTGAAAGGCATGTAGCCACAGGTAAAGATTACTGGGGAAAATGCCAGGAAGCAACTTAGAATATGCTTTGGTTAAGCTAATAAAAATGTAGGGGTGCCTGGGTGGCTCAGTTGTTAACATCTGACTTTTGGCTCAGGTCATGATCTCGCGGTTCAAGAGTTCCATTCCCACATTGGGTGAACACGAGCCCCACTTTGGGTGAGACCTGCTTCTTTCTCTCTCCCTCTAACACACTCTCTCTCTCTGTCCCTCCTTTCTCTCTCTGCCTCATGCTCCCTTATACCCATTCTCTCTCTCTCAAAAAAAAAAAAAAGATAATGAAAATGTAGGGGCACCTGGCTGGCTCAGTCATAGGAGCACATGATTTTGGGGTTGTGTTTCGAGCCTCATGATGGGTGTAGCAATTACTTAAATATATAAATAAACTTTAAAAAAAAGATAATGAAAATGTAGCCCAAGGGAACAAGAAATGAAACAGCCTGCACAGTCATCATAACCATCATATATATACTCTACTTTTGGTAACAAAGATAGTATCACTCACACACAATGCTGAGATGTTTTGCAGACCTGGACCAATGAAGGAAATGACCACCCAACCAGGATCTTGAAGAAACAGGTGACCTGGCACCAGTTCATCAGTTTTGACATTTACCAAATCCCTGACCTATCAGAAGAACCCATGATTCCAAACCCCTTACCCTTGATTTCTGGCCTTAAAACCATTACTTGTAAGCCATCAGGGAATTCAGGATTTTGAGCATTAGTTCCCTGTTCACCAGGGTAGTGCCATACCAAGAAATACACTATCTTTCTTCACTAAAAAAGCTCAGTGTCAGGTTTTTTATTGGCTTGCTGTGCGTTGGATGGATAAACTTCTTAGGTTCAGTTATACTACTAATGAAAACAGTATGGACAATCCTCGAAAAATTAAAAATAAAACTAACACTTTGGGGTATTTATTTGAAGAAAACCAAAACTCTTACTTGGAAAAGATGTACGTGATCTCATGTTTATTACAGCATTATTTATAATAGCCAAGATATGGAAACAACCTAAGTGTCCATCGAGGAATGAATGGATAAAGATGTTCTGAGATATCTATATATCTATATCTATATCTATATCTATAAAGGAATATTATTCAGCTATTATAAAAAACACAAGGAAATGCTACCATTTACAACATGGATAGACCTTGAAGGCATTATGCACACAGTTCATGGGATTGAATACTATGTTAGGCTCTGTGCTGACAGCATGGAGCCTGCTTGGGATTCTCT